GCAGTTTGGGGAATGAATGTTTTTGAAATGCCTAAGTTTATTTATTCTAGAATGTAATTTTTTTAATGGAGTCTCATTGTCACTAGGCTGGAGTGCAGTGGTGCAATCTCAGCTCACTGAAACCTCCACTTTTTGGATTCAAGTGATTCTCCTTCCTCAGTCCCCTGAGTAGCTGGGATTACAGGTGCACAGTGTGATGCCTGGCTATTTTTTTTTTTTTTTTTTTTGTATTTTAGTAGAGATTGGGTTTTTCAATCTCCTGACCTTGTGATCCACCTGCCTTGGCCGCCCAAAGTGCTAGGATTACAGACCTGAGCCACCACACCTGGTCTTTTTGAGTGTAATTTAAGTTCATTTCTTCTTATTTACTTTCAGCCTTGATGATTTATTTAGTGCTGTCAGTAAAGTATTGAAGTCCCCCATTATTATGGTATTGCTGTTTATCTCGGTTTTTAGGTGTAGTAAAAATCATTTTATAACTCTGGAAGCTCCAGTGTTAGATGCTTTTATATTTAGGATTCTAATATCATCTTGTTGGACTAATTATTTTATTATTTTATAATATCCTTCTTTGTCTTTTTTTTAAGACAAAGAAGGATATTAACTGACCTTCCTGTTGGATTAATTTTATATCATTATGTAGTATGTAGTATCCTTCTTTGTCTTCAGACCTTAATGAAACAGATTTTTGAGCTTTAAGGTTTGTTTTGTTTAAGAATAGCTGCTCTTTCTTGTGGAATATCTTTTTTCACCCTTTTACCTTAAATTTCATGAGTGCTTATGTGTTAAGTATCTGAAGATAGCAGATATGTGGTTGTTGGAATTTTATCCATTCTGTCATTCTATACTTTTTTAATGTAGAACATTTAGGCCATTTACATTTAATGTTAATGTTAAGATGTGTGGTATTCTTCAATTAATCATGTCAGTTGTTACCTACTTTGTTTTTTCATTGTTATTATATAGGTCCTGTGAGATTTATGCTTTAAGGAGGTTCTATTTTGGTGCATATCAAGCTTTTGTTTTAAAATTTAGAACTCCCTTTAGCATTTCCTGTAGTGCTGGTTCAATAGTGGCAAATTCCTTCAGCTCTTTTTTGTCTAAAAAAAGTCAATGTGAAGGAAATAATTTTAAGAGCTGTGAAACAGAGTATCAGGTAGGTAACCTATAAAAAAATCTGTCAGACTAACAGCAGATTTCTCAGCAAAAAGGGGATAGGGGTCCTTCTGCTTTTAGCGTGAAACAAAATAAATGTCAGCCAATAATTCTGTATTTATCAAAACTAGGATTTATAAATAAGAAAGAGATAAAATATTTTTCAAGCTTTTTTGTGCAGTTTGTGGTTTTGTTTTCTTCTTTATAATTGCCCATATACCAAATATAGAATTTTTCATTCTTTTTATTTTTAATATGCACATTTTCTATTTCATTATAAAATTCTTTTATTTTAACATCATATAATTGACCAAATCAGTAAATTTTTGCATAATTAACTTTATTTTATAGTATTCTATAAATTATATGTGCCTTTCATGCTGAGGTAGAATAATAGATGCAAAAATACTACAAAAATCTAAATAGATGTTATCCCTGCTTTTATAAAAGTTAAAGTAAAGGAAACAGGTATTATAAAATTTTACATATATTAATGTTATGTTGACCAGTAAAATGTGCTTTGACAGAATTTTAAAAGGTAAAACCATTGAAATTAACAGTCTAGGGCAGGCATTGCTGAAAAAGTAACACATCACCTAATAAATGCTTAAAATAATTTGTGTTGTTTTTACTCACTCAAAATTCCTTTCATTTGTTTCCCAAATAGCATTCTCTTTTCTATCAGTGAATTCTCCTACATTTCATACCCTCTTGGCCCATGGGTGAACATGTGACCCATGCCAAGATAATAATATTTTCTCCTACACGTTTAAATTTTAAACATGTACTCTAAAGATCAGAAAATGGTCAGACCTATGTCAGTCCAATGGTAGTATAACGCACCCTATTTGTTAATTTTTATTCATATAACTCTTAAAACCAAGCTTAGTTCTGTCCTTCCAGAATTATGAGACAGACTATTGTCTGAATTCTCTATAATAAGCATAAATAGGGAATAAATTCACCTTGTTGTTTAAATTGTACAGTATTCACTTCTGTGGGTTATATAACAATCAATCCTAGCTGAAGTAATCATTATACTATTAGGAAGAAAAGAAGTAAGATGCTTACAGATGAAGCTAGAAGTCAACTGGTGTAGGCTTTCAGGCCATAAAGGAGTTTTAAATTTCATTCTAATGGAAAACATTTTAAGCAGAAGACAGCATAATCACAAGTATACATTCATACTTAAACAGCTTCATTGTCTGGAGTAACACCTGATGTTCATTGTCTCACAGCTATGAAAAACTAGTACATGGACACAAAGAGTGAGGTTGAGAGCAGAAGTTTAATAGACAATAGAAAGAGAATAATTCTCTGCTGCAGACAGGGGTTGAAATAAATGGACTGCTGGTCTGTGGTGAAATGCAGGGAATTTTATAGATAAGCTGGTGAGGTGGTGGTGTATGATTTACATATGGTATAAAAAACTGGTTAGACCAAGTGTGCCATTAGCGTAGACACAAATCTTTGGTAATCCCCATTCTAATATTTTATTATGCAGGCAGGATTCTCTGCCTAAGGTGTTCAGTTTGAAAGTGAGCTGGGCTTATATGCTAAACCAATTAAGAAGTCTCTTGGTCTAACAGAAAATTATTTGTAAGGAAAGACCATCCATATAGCATTTGAAAAGAGCACAGACCTAACTTTCAAAAGGTATTTTGTACCCACATTAAAGCAATAGAAAGAAGAGTGATGCAAACAAGGTGAGGTCCTTGGGATAGTTTTTTGAGGTATCTTTTAATGACATCATTTGTCTTCTCTACCTTTACTGAGGACTGGGGTCTCTGAGCAAAATGGAGATGACACTGTATGCCTAGTTTCTTTGAGACCCCCCGTGTGATGGCTGCCATAAATGAGGGTTCATTGTCACTTTGGAGGTATTTACATATACCAAGCAGGGAGTTATTATATTAACTAACACTTTTATCACCTCAGAGGTTTTTATCAGCATTACATTAAAATGCTTCCACCTAGTTAGTAAAATTATCTACCCATAGCCATCGCACCCACCCCCTGCCAATGGTATTTTAAAGAATATCCATTAGTGGTAAGAAAATGTCTTCTGCTTTAGGCCGGGTGCGGTGACTCAAGCCTGTAATCCCAGCACTTTGGGAGGCCAAGACGGGTGGATCACAAGGTTGAGAGATCGAGACCATCCTGGTCAACATGGTGAAACGCCATCTCTACTAAAAATACAAAAAATTAGCTGGACATGGTGGCACGTGCCTGTAATCCAAGCTACTCAGGAATCTGAGGCAGGAGAATTGTCTGAATCCAGGAGGCGGAGGTTGCAGTGAGCCGAGATCGCGCCATTGCACTCCAGCCTGGGTAACAAGCGAAACTTTGTCTGAAAAAAAAAAAGAAAGTGTCTTCTGCTTTAAATGGCAGCATGAGTATGAAGAACTAGGAAAGCATACTTAGAGTCATTGCAAAGGTTAGCTACCTTTTTCTTTGTTAATTCAAGTGCTCTTGTAAGAGCTATCAGTTCAGCTAGTTGTGCACTTGTGTGTGAAGAAAGGAATGCAGTTATAATAACACCACATTGCATATCCTGCTTAATACAGGGTGCTTGCTCCACAAAGAAACTTCCAGCTATGAAAAGGGTCAAGTCTGGATTTTCTAGGAAAGTTTCCCTGAGATCCTCCCTGGCTACATACATCCGTACCACAACTTCCTCACAGTCATGTTAGGTTCTGCCATTTCCTTTGGTAGGAAAGTTGTTGGGTTTAGGTGAGAACAAGTTTTCAATTAGACTGTAGAGCCCTCTAATGGAAGAGCCTGATATTTAAGGAGCTGGCTGTCTCTTGGCCAAAGGCTTCCCCTAGAGCACAGCAATCCTGTTACCTCATGTGTGATATAAACAGTTAAGCCATTTCCCAGGGTTAATTTCTTGGTCTCTGTCACCAGTAAGGTCACTGCAAAAACTGCTGAGAGGCATGCTGGCTATCCTTTAGCCACAATATCAAGTTTCTTACTCAGGTAATAAATTAAGCTGTTCAACTGGTCCTCAGGCTTGAGGTAAAATTCCCTCCTTTATGATACATATGAGGTAATATAAGGGGCAAGCTATCTTGCCCAGCCACCCATAGTCTACAAAACCCAGTAATGCCCCCACATCCTCTTACTTGCTTGAGGGATTTAGGTAGGGGAAAGAAGGAAATTGGCTTAATCATTTCTTCCTATAATGTTGTGGTCCCTTCAGACAACACCAAACACAGGTATGTCACTGAGATTTGGCAAAGCTGGGCCTTAGATTTTGAATGCTTATATCCTCTGTCAGCTAAGAAATTAAGAAGACCTTCATTGCCTTTCTGAGAACTGTTCTCTGTTGTGACACAGAACAGTAGGTCATCTACATTGTGGACGACCCTGACCTGAGGATAGGAAAATTCAGAGAAGTCCTTTGACAGTGCCTGTCCAAAGAAGTGAAGACTGTCTTGAAGTCACTGAGGCCGCACCATCCATGTTAACTGGGCAGTTTGGCTCGAAGAATCTTCAAAGGGAAACACATATTGAGAATGGTATAGATAAAAAGGTATCCTTTAGTTCTAGTACTATGAATCATTTAGTTCCCTCAGGTACTTGGGTGAACAAGGCATAGAGATTATAAACTACTGGACGAATTGGCATTACAGTCTCATTAATGAAATGGAGGTCCTGAATTAGTCTTCATTTCCCAATGTGGTTTTGCATTCCTAATATTGGGGTGTTGCAGGGGTTGTTATAGGGTTTGAGTAGGCCCTGCATTTTCAGGTGTTTAATATTGGCTTCTAGGTCTTTCATAGCATCTGGCTTCAGGGAATATTGTCCTAACTATCCCCTAAACCCAAACAAAAACTAGGATGCATAAGGTGAATCTGGACTGGCCTAGTGGTTATAACTTGACCTGTTCTTCCATGAGTTGCCCACACTTCTGGATTAATATTAGCTTCCACTGTGGGGAAATAAAGGATTTGTCCTCGGGCTATAAGAATGCTGACCCCATGTGAGTTAAAATATCTCTACCGAGTAGGGCCAGGCGCGGTGGCTCAAGCCTGTAATCCCAGCACTTTGGGAGGCCGAGGCGGGTGGATCATGAGGTCAACAGATCGAGACCATCCTGGTCAACATGGTGAAACCCCGTCTCTACTAAAAATTACAAAAAATTAGCTGGGCATGGTGGCGCATGCCTGTAATCCCAGCCACTCAGGAGGCTGAGGCAGGAGAATTGCCTGAACCCAGGGGGCGGAGGTTGCGGTGAGCTGAGATTGCGCCATTGCACTCCAGCCTGGGTAACAAGAGCGAAACTCCGTCTCAAAAAAAAAAAAAAAAAAGGCATGAGTAAATAATAGAATCCCCAAACTACAACTAAGGGTTTTAGAATAATATCAGGTAACTGTCTTTCTTGAGATTCATATCACAGTCATGCCACAAGAAGAGGGGAAGCTTGGATAAGAGGGAAGAAAAAGACTGGATCCAGTGTCCACCACCCTTCTTCCTTCAATTTCCAGTATCACCAGGGCTCCTGAGCAATAATGGCAGTTAGAACCAATGGAGTTGGGGTCTGGGCCCTGGGACCCATCAGTCCTGTTGGACCATTGTGAAACCAGTTTTGGATCTGGTGACCTCCATCTCTGTGGGCAGTTTGATTTCCAGTGGTCACTACCATGAGCTGAATGGAGTCAAGTTGACTTCTTGCCGCCTGGGTAATCCTTCTTAAAGTGCCCTGACTTAACACATTTGTAGAAATTAGCAGGAGCACCTCTGAAATTTTGAGTTTTGCAAGCCTGCAAAGCAGCTACTACAGCCTCTGTCTTTCTTTGTGTTTCTTCTTTATATCCTGGGCCTCCTCTCGGTTCCTGTTTTAAAATGTGGAGGTGGCCACCCTCAAGAGGCTTTCTAGGATGCTATCTGGTTCTGTAGCCTGCTTCTGCAGTTTCCATCTAACATAGGGAGCTCAATGTGCTATGAACATGTCTTTTCAATTGCTTGTTCCTTGACTTTTTCAGGAGAAAGGAGGTGTGTTTTATTAGTGCCTCTTTCAGTGTTGCCATAAAGGTTGTAGGATTCTCATCTAGGTTTTTGTCTATCATGGACATTTTAGAGTAATTAAGAGGTTTGGCTCTAATTCATCATAGGCTCTCCAACATGTGCATTAAAAAGTGTTCTTTTCCATTTATATGTGTAGTTGGGGTTCTAATCAGGGTTGTCAGTAGGTATTTCCTCTCTTTCTGTTGGGAATAGTGATTCCCCTATTTTTCACCTTAGCTATTTTGTCTTTTGCTTTTTGACCTATTAGAGGAGACATATAACTCATCTTTGAATTCCTCTGTTGCCTTCAGAACTGCCTGTTTTTCTGCAGCAGTTAGAACTTGGCTTAGGAGCAACATAGCATCCCTCCATGAGAGGTCAAACAACTGAGTTAAATTTTGGAATATACCTCTCAGGGTCTCTCTTTATTTGCCTAAGATACTGACTAGTGGCATCACCTGCACTGATATTTCCCATATGAGCCAGAGCAAGGAGGAGTGGGAATTTTGGGAGATGGTAGAAGTGGAGAAGCCTACAATGTGGTTGGAGGGGGGCCCTGTATAGGGAAACAGGAAGGGTTAGGAACTCTATAACTCCCTCAGATGCTTCTCTGAGAAGTTGTCTTTTTAGTTTTGGAGATTTGCTCCTTTTCAGCCTAAATGATATGATTGCCAAAAGAGCTGGGTCGATTGTGCAATGCTTCCAAAGGTCTGGGTTGTCTCATTAGTATGGTAGCCTCATCTTAATCTTTTATTATGCAAAGAAAACCTGTACATAGAAAACCTTGAACCATTTGCTCTCTCATCTACACAAATAATCTAATTTTTGGATAGTATTAAAATTGAGGCTTTCCTGAAAAACGGTTAGTTCAAGACAATAAGAAGGCCATACCATCTTGCAAAAGAAAATGAGCCACTTTTTCTTATAGGAGTCCCATTGCTTCAAAATGCACTCCAGAGGAGTGCAGGCTGAAGATGGTCTGTTATCCATGTAGAAAGAGAAGTGATAAAAAGGAATCCCTTTAGTTTTCTTCCTTTCTTTTAGAATGACTCAGGGTAAAGGGGGTGACAATGGGGACATTCCTTCAACTGTTTCCTTCCTTGGTTCCCTGAGTCCAAGCATCCATTAAAGGTGGATGCAGGCATTACCCTCACCCATGGATCCAGAGGAGCTAAGCAATAATATTAGTCATACTTACCAATGCAACTTTAGTCCTCCATTGGTGATTTTCCTTTGATTTTCTAGACTTCTGTACTCTGCATGTTTTCCCAATGGATGGCTCTCAGGACAAACTATGTAACAGTTGTATGAATGCAAGGCCCCTTACCACAGGGAGAATACTAGGTAGAGCTGTATATTCTGTTATTATACCCCAGATTAAAGTATTCTTAGGCAGTGGTTCTGGTTAATAGTATGTAAAATACCCATTTTTTTTTTTTTAAGGCACATGGATATTTTTAAAAAATGGCAGTTTTTCTGCTAATGGGAAATTATTGACACAAAATTTTTGTTTGGGGAGATATCTTCCTCCTAATTGTTGTGTTTTCTCACTCACATATGGGGCATAAAGCTTGGTTTACAGTTGACGGGTGTAAAAAGAGAGTAGAATTGGGAAAAATACAGTGTTTTAGCAAAGGTTTGACAAGGTACATCTTGGAGAGGATTCCTATTCCACTAGGCGGTGCTGTATGTCTTGAAATACCATGTGCTTTCCAGACAAAGGGTAGAGAAAAAGATGTTCACTGGGTGGGAGTAGAGGCCCTCTGCTTCTAGAAAAATAAAAAAATGGCCATCCCTTTAGCTGTATTCCCAGTTACTATGGCATTTGCTGATCTTGCCTAATAGGATTATTTCCCTTAACTGTAAAAATTCCTGCAGCACTGCATAAAGACAGGGGACAAGAGTTGATGAAAAAAACTTGGAGATGCTATTGCTTATGCCCAATGGGCAGTAAGAGGATGGAAAAATAAGAGTCCAGAAGCCTTTGAGTAACTGTCAATTGTCTCTGGATATCTTCAGCCCCAGATGATGGCTAGGCTCTTTGTGAAAGGAAACCAGTTCAAAACAGAGCCAATATTCCTAGCACCCTAAAAACACTGGGAGATTTGTTTAGTACTCCCTAGCAAGCCTGTCATCTGAGTCTTTGAAGTGGCAGCAATCATAATGGTCTCTTAACTGGCCATCGGATGCCCAGTTTTTTAAGTTTCATTTTACAATTTAAAATTGAGGGCAGATGGACTCAAAATAAAAGTAGAGAATTGGGGTCCACTCATATAATTACCTTTCTGATGAATCTACCCTTGATCCTAGATGAGCCCCCACAATGAAACAGCCTCATCTGGAGTACTACCTAAGGTTTCTTGTCTTATGGCCATGGAATACAGGCATGCAAAGAGTGAGATTAGAGTGAAAGTTTAATAGGCAAAAGAAAGCAAATAGCTCTCTGTGGCAGCGAGGTGTCCTGGAAAAATGGGTTTCCTGTTCATGGCAAAATAGAGTGTTTTAAAGATCAGCTGGTGAGGAGGCAGTGTCTGATTTACATAGGACATGAAAAACTGGTTAGACCAAGTGTGTCATTTGCATGGGGGTGAATCTCTGGTAACCCCATCCTAATCGTTTATCATGCAGGCAGTTTCTCTGCCTGAGCTGTGCCATGTTGCCCATTTCTTTTTTCCTGTAAACATGGTAACAGAGAGGGAAGATGGAGCCTTCATGTTGAATATGTGTGGCCCCCAAGTAGCCCTTTTCTCTTGGCATAGCTGTCAGCATTTGCCCATGCAGGCTTCCAGCTTGCTTATCTCTGTCTGCAGCTTGATTCTTCAGGTTGCTCTTGTTAGGAAAAAAAAATAATTTTCTGGGCTGCTTTTTGTTAGTTGAGGACTCTTTAAGCTCTCATTATCTATCTAATTTCTTTCTACCTCCTGTATCAATAAGATCACTTTGGGCTGCGCATGGTGGCTCATGCCTGTAATCCCAGCACTTTGGGAGGCTGAGGTGGATGGATCACCTGAGGTCAGGAGATTAAGACCAGCCTGGCCAACATGGTAAAACCCCATCTCTACTGAAAATATAAAAATTAGCCAGGCATGGTAATGGGGACCTGTAATCCCAGGTACTCTGGCGGCTGAGGCAGGAAAATCACTTGAATCCAGAAGGCAGAATTGCAGTGTGCTCAGATGGTGCCATCACACTCCAGCCTGGGCTACAAAAGTGAAACTTCACCTAAAAAAAATTACTTTGACTGCAGTGTGGACAACACACTGAAAGACAACAGAGGAGTAGAGTCAGAGAGATTGCTTAAGTAGCTATTGGCCTATTCAAGAAAAAATGTTTTAAATACTAAAATCTGGTAAAAATTAGTAGAGAAAGGCAAATGCTCAAGGAATTTTTATACAGTTAAGATACAATAAATATCTTGATATTTATATATTTATCAGATAAATATACTGATACAATAAATCAGTAGATTCTGCCTGCTAATAGCATAAATGTACTTAGAACAAGTTTCTTAGCTGGTCAACACCTGATTTCAGCCTTATGTAATGTTTTCTTATAGAATGTTCTCAAGGAGTTTCAGAACTTCACTCTGAAATTCTCATTTTACGTAGAAATTACTTATGCTTACTCAGCAATCATTGTGTATACTTGAGAACTCTTGAAATATAAGAAAACCTGTAAGTCGTTTCTCTTTTTTTTGTTTTGTTTTGTTATTTTTTTTTTTTGAGATGGAGTCTCGCTCTTGTTACCCAAGCTGGAGTGCAATGGTGCGACTTCGGTTCACTGCAACCTCCGCCTCCTGGGTTAAAGCAATTCTGCTACCTCAGCCTCCTGAGTAGCTGGGACTACAGGCTGCACCATAACTTTTGTGTTTTTAGTAGAGATGAGGTTTCACCATGTTGACCAGGATGGTCTCGATCTCTTGACCTCGTGATCCACCCGCCTCGGCCTCCGAAAGTGCTGGGATTACAGGATTGAGCCACCGCACCCGGCCTATTTTTTTTTTTAACTGGAGATCGGTTTTCAGCATGGTGGCCAGACTGGCCTCAAGTGATCCACCAACCTCTGCCTTCCAAAGTTCTGGGATTACGGGTGAGAGCCACAGCTGCACCCGGCAGGCACCGAAGAGGTTCCGCTGGGGCCCGCTCGGAGGAGTCGCGCTGGGGAAGGCGAGTGGAGGTGCTTCTTGATAAAACTGGGGAATCCCAGATCTCAGGGGTTCTGTCCTGGCCTGCCTCCCTGGATCGTCCAGCCTGGGCGGGAGTGAGAGAGGACCTCGCCCTTCTTGACTGGGGCTGCATGGGAGGGTCCAACTTCACCAAAGGCCTAGCCCGCGGTTCCTAGCCTATCCCCCCTCCCCTCCAGACCTGGCAGTCGCCCTCAACAAACATGGCGCCGATGGCCTCAGTACGTCAAGCGACACGCCCTCCGGCCTCTTCCGGCGCTTCTTTTATCACCGCAGCCGGAAGCCGAGCGGCAGAGTGGGCGGTCTGGCTTTCGGGCCGGCGGCGGACTGCTTGGCTGTGTGGCCGCGCGCTGGCGCTGCAGGGAGGGATGCTGTGCCCCTGGGAGAGCCCGTCGCGGGAGCGCAAGGAGCTGGACAGACTCTGGAGCTTCCACGCTGACTTCTCGGACGACCGGCGCCAGGGCTTCCAGGAGCAGTGGTAGCGGCTGCTGCTGCGGTACTCAGGGCAGGGCCGGGAGGCACGCGGAAGCCCATCGTAGGGACTGGGAGAGTCCAGGCCGCCTCGCAGGCTCCTTTCCCTGGGCGCCCGGGGGTTGGGGGCCCAGGGGAGGTTAAAGATGAATGGGCTTGGCTGGTCAACGTGAAACCCCGTCTCTACTAAAAATACAAAAAATTAGCTGGGCATGGTGGCGCGTGCCTGTGGTCCCAGCTACTCGGGAGGCTGAGGCAGGAGAATTGCCTGAACCCGGGAGGCGGAGGTTGCGGTGAGCCGAGATCGCGCCATTGCACTCCAGCCAGGGTAACAAGAGCGAAACTCCCTCTCAAAAAAAAAAAAAAAAAAAAAAAAAAAAGATTAATGGGCTTGGGAGCGTGGGGTTGGGGGAGTGGGGCCGGGAGGGGACCCAGGAGGACCGCGGAAGAGGAGGCAGGAGGAGGAGGAAGCACCCCTGCCGAGCTCCCTCCCGAGGTGAAGGCTGAGCCCGGGCAGTGTCCTTTTTTTTTTTTTTAATGTTTATTATTAATTTTTAAAACATTTTTTGAGACCGGGCTTGGCCCTGTTGCCCAGGCTGGAGCGCAGTGGCGCAGTCCTAACTTCTGACCTCAAGGGAGCCTTCTGCCGCAAGTTAGTAGGGCCTCCGTCGGTCGGAGTTTCGCTCTTGTTACCCAGGCTGGAGTACAATGGCGCGATCTAGGCTCACCGCAACCTCCACCTCCTGGGTTGAGGCAATTCTCCTGTGTCAGCCTCCCGAGTAGCTGGGATTACAGGCACGTGTCACTATGCCCAGCTAATTTTTTGTATTTTTAGTAGAGATGGGGTTTCACCATGTTGACCAGGTTGGTCTCAAACTATTGCCCTCAAGTGATCTGCCCACTTCAAGCTCCCAAACTGCTGGGATTACAGGCTTGAGCCCCTGCCCCGGCCTTTTTGTGTGTGTGTGTGTGTGTGTGTGTGTGTGTCTGTGTGATAAGTGTCTCGCCAGGCTGGAGTGCAGTGGCATGATCTCGGCTCACTGCAACCTTCACCTCCTGGGTTCCAGTGATTCTCCTGGTTCAGCCTCCCAAGGAGCTGGAATTACAGGTGCACTCCACCACACCTGGGGGGTTTCACCTTGGTGGCCAAGATGGTCTGGATCTCCTGACCTCATGATCCGCCCACCGTGGCCTCCCAAAGTGCTGGGATTACAGGAGTGAGCCACCACACCCAGCCAAAGCTGGTTTATTTAAAACAACAACAATAACAAAAAACAGGCTAGGTGCACATTTGTAATTCCACCACTTTTGGAGGCCAAGGCAGGAAGATTGCTTGAGCCCAGGTGTTTTAGAGCAGCATGGGCAACATGGCAAGACCCCATCTTTACTCAAAATGAAAATTTAGGTCAGGCACAGTGGCTCACACTTCTAATCGAGAACTGTGGGAGGCCAAGGCAGGTGGATCACGAGGTCAAGAGAGCGAGACCACCCTGGCCAACGTGGTGAAATCCCATCTCTAATAAAAATAGAAAAATGAGCTGGCCATGGTGCCAGCTACTCAGGAGGCTGAAGCAGGAGAATCACTAGAACCTGAGAGGTGGGTGAGCCGAGATCTCACCACTGTACTCCAGCCTGGCAACAGAACAGACTCTGGAAAAAAAAGGAAAATTTAGCCAGCTCCTCACAACCACCTAACCTCCTCTGTCTCCCTGTATGGTCAGGCTGTGTGAGTACCGGAGAGGCTTGGTGACTGGGAATCTTTTCTTTCTCCTAGCTGAGTTCCTGTTCTGGGCTTCATTCTGCATGACCCATCTCAGCAGGAGGGCCAGGGACCTCATCCTCTATGGCACCAAGGAATTCAGCTTCCTGCAGCTCTCAGATGCCTACAGGTAAGTTCCAAGCCGCCACCACCACCTGCTCTTCCCAGCCTCTGTATACCCTATCCCCCTTGGGCATGGCATTTTTCCTCCTCACCCCACCCCTCTGCCAGACCTTACCAGTGAGCTGCTGGACCAGCCAAGGGCCCAGCCCCTTAAGTGCAGTTCTCCTGCCTCAGCAGCCCAAGTAGCTTGTCTGAGACCACTACCACAACCTACTTTTAGTAGGGATGGGGTTTCTCCATGTTGACCAGGTTGGTCTCTAACTCCTGACCTCAAGTGATGTGCCTACTTCAACCTCCCAGACTGCTGGGATTACAGGCTTGAGCCCCTGCCCCGGCCTTTTTTTTTTTTTTGTGATAAGTCTTTGGCCAGGCTGGAGTGCAGTGGCATGATTTCAGCTCACTGCAACCTTCACCTCCTGGATTCAAGTGATTCTCCTGGCTCAGCCTCCCAAGTAGCTGGGATTACAGGTGCACACCACCGCACCCAGGAAGTATTTTTGTATTTTGATTAGAGACGGGGTTTCACCTTGGTGGCCAAGATGGTCTGAATCTTCTGACCTCATCATCCACCCACCTTGGCCTCCCAAAGTGCTGGGATTACAAGAGTGAGCCACCACACCCAGCCAAAGCTGGTTTACTTAAAACAACAACAATACAAAACCGGCTAGGTGCAGTGGCTCACATTTGTAATTCGAGTGCGGCCAAGGCAGGAAGATTGCTTGAGCCCAGGTGTTTTAGAGCAGCATGTGGAACATGTATGCCATCACAGCTCACTGCAGCCTTGACCTCCCACACTGCAGCTATTTGATTTAAAGTGAGAGACATGCAATTCTTCCTTTTACTCAAACACTTAGAAGCCATTGGAAGGTAATTAATTGGCCTAATTTCAATATTGTTGTATCTTAAAGAATAGAGAGGCCCAAAGAGAGGGAGGGACATGGAGAGGGGGGAAGATTCAGTAGATGGAGCAGTCAGAACACACTCAGTTGACCTTCCAGGCACAAGCAATCCTCCCACCTCAGCCTCCTAAGTAGCTGGTAGCATCTGCAATCACACTATTTTTTTTTAGTAGAGATGGGTGTCTCATTGTGTTGCCCAGGTTTGCACTGAATAATTCTGTTGGCAGCATTTTAAGTTTTTCTTTAATACTGTATCTGTTATGGTGATCTGTGATCACTGACCTTTGATGTTAATGGTTTTGGGATTCTGTCAAGCCCACTTACATAGGATGTTTAACTTAATTGATAAGTGTTCAGTGTGTTCTGACTGCTCCACTTACTGTTTCCCCATCTCTCTCCCTCTCTTTGGGCCTTTCCATTGTTTCAAATACAACAATATTGGTATTAGGCCAATTAATTACCCTACAATGTGTCTAAGTGTTTGAGTAAAAGGAAGAGTTGCATGTCTCTCACTTTAAATCAAAAGCTAGAAATGATTAAGCTTAGTGAGGGAGCCATGTCAAGAGCCATGATGGGCTGTAACCTAGTTCTCTTGTGCCAAACAGTTAGCCAAGTTGTGAAAGTTTTTGAAGAAAGTTAAATGTGCTACTCCAGTGAACTTGCAAATGATAAAATGAAACAGGCCAGGCTCAGTGACTCACACCTGTAATCCCAGCATTTTGGGAGGCTGAGGCAGGAAGATGAGACCAGCCTGGCCAACATGTTGAAATCCCATCTCTACTAAAAATTAACCAAGCTTGGTGGTGCATGTCTGTAGTCCCAGCTACTCAGGAGGCTGAGGCAGGAGAATAGCTTGAACCGCAGAGTTGGAGGTAGCAATGAGCTGAAATCGTGCCACTGCATTCCAGCCTAGGTTAAAGAGTTAGACTCTATCTTAAAAAAAGAACAAAAAAGGGAAAATGAAACAGCCTTACTGCTGATATGGAGAAAGTTGCAGTGGTCTGGATAGGCAATCAAACCAGCTACAACAGTCCCTTAAGCCAAAGCCTAATCCAGAGCAAGGCCCTAGCTCTCTTCAGTTCTGTGAAGACTGAGGGAGGTAAGGAAGTTGCAGAAGAAAAGTTGGAAGGTAGCAGAGGTTAGTTGAGGATGTTTCAGGAAAGAAGCCATTTCCATAATATAAGAATGCAAAAAGAGGCCACAAGTGCTGATGGAGAAGCTGCAGCAAGTTATCCAGAAGATCCAGCTAACATCACTGTTGAAAGTGGCTACACTAACACCTATTGGAGGAAGATGCCATCTAGGAGTTTTAATAGCCAGGAAGGAGAATTCAAAACTTCATAGGACTGACTGACTAATGCAACTTGTGACTTTAAGTTGAAGCCAATGTTCATTTACCATTCCGAAAATCCTAGGGCCCCTGAGAATTATGCTAAATCTCTTCAGCCTGTGCTCAATAAATGGAAGAACAAAGGTTGGATGACAGCACATCTGTTTACAGCATGGCTTACTGACAATTTTAAGCCCACTGTTAAGACCTACTGCTGAGGATCCAAGATGACTGAATAGGAACAGCTCCAGAATGCAGGTCCCAGCAAGAACAATGCAGAGGGTGAGTGCCCACCACATTTCTGAAGAAATTTTCATTGCCCACAGACCAGGAGATTCCTGGGCAAAAAGCACCACAAGTTTTCAGCACGGTGGTGTCAGTTGGTGCTGGGTTGGCACACAGAAACTCAAAAAAGTCTGGGTGGCGATGGTTTCTGTAACTCTATAGTACGTTTAAAGTCTGGTAATGTGATTCCTCCAGTTTTGTTCTTCTTCCTTAGGATAACTTTGGTTATTCTGGGTCTTTTGTGGTTTCATATACATTTCAGCATTGTTTTTTTCTATTTCAGTGAAGAATGTTACTGGTATTTTGATAGGGATTGCACTGAATCTGTAGATTGCTTTAGGTAGTATGTGTTAACAATATTGATTTTTCCATTCACAAACATGGAATATCTTTCCATTTTTTTGTGTCATCTTCAATTTCTTTCATTAGTGGTTTATATTTTTCATTGTAGATATATTTCACTTCTTTGGTTAAGTTAATTTTGAGGTACTTTATTGGTGGCTACTGAAAATAGGATTACTTTCTTGATTTCTTTTTCAGATTGTTTGCTGTTGGCATATAGAAATGCTTCTGATTTTTGTATGTTGATTTTGTATCCTGCAACTTTACTGAATTTATTGATAAGTTCTATTAGTTTTCTGGCAAAGTCTAGGTTATTCCCAGTATAAGATCATGTTATTTGCAAACAAGGATACTTTGGCTTTATCCTTTCCAACTTGGATGCCCTTTATTCATTTCTCTTCTGTGACTGCTCCAGCTGGATCTTCCAGTACCATGTTGAATAACAGTGGTGAAAGATAAGCAGCCTTGTCATGTTCCAGAATCTTAAAGGAAAGGCTTTCAGTTTTTCCCCATTCAGTATGATGCTAGCTGTGGATTTGTTGTATATGGCTTTTATTTTGTTTGAAGTGTGTTTATTCTATATCCAGTTCTTGAGGGTTTTTATTATGAACGGATGTTGAACTTTATCAAATGTTGTTTGTCAGCATCGATTTAAATGATTATATGGTTTTTGTCCTTCGTTCTGTTGACATGTGTTTCACACTATGATTTGTATATATTGAGCCATCCTTACATCTCTGGGTTAAATTCAGTCATTATTTTATGTCGCTGGTTTTTGTGTTTTTTTCCTTCTTAAAGATGGATTTAGTAGGGGGAAGTTTTACATGCCTGAAGACCTTTTATTATTTATGAATACTCTGTGAGGTTCCCTACAGAGAACGTTCTTGTTACCAGAGGCTTTTATTGATTAGATGTCCAGATAAAGGAATTCCAGAGTCACCAAGGAATGTAGCAAGAGTAAACTCTCATCTGTGTGACCCCCTCGGAAAGCAATTAGAAAAATTAGTGTTCTGGCTTTTCTTTTTAAGAGATAATTTAGTATGGTAAAAGAAGAGAAAGGAAAAATATATGTGACTCAGACTAAATGGAGAGAAACAAATTAAGCTTTCATTTTTCTTTCAGGAGCAAAAGTGCATGTAGAAATGACTGAAATGTCTGCTTGTTTTTCTGTTTGTTTTTCAAGGGCTTTGAGGGCATGCTAGTGAGTGTCTAGTTATTTGGAGACATTGTGGCATCATCATCATTATTCCTTTTTGATACCATTTAACAGTAAAGAAATTTTCTCCTAAGATAGGCCTTGAAGGTACACTGTCAAAAACCTCTCAGCCCAGCAAGGCTGTGTTCTGAACTCTTTCTCTACTGTTGGCTCAATATTGTTTCAATAATCAGCTACTTTAAAAAATCAATCATGGCTGCTTATCTTATATAGTATATTATATAGAGACAAAAGGATATAGAGATGAAAATTGGAAATGGCCACCTATTAATAACTGAATTTTTTTAGGTTGGCATTTACTGTGGGATCTTCTGTGTTTGTTTGTTTGTTTTGTCAATTACTTCTATACTGCAACAGGGATGTTCAAAATTCAGATTGCTGGAGAAAATTTCATGGAGGCGTTTCCTGTTAATCTTTGTAGAAATTATCATGGTGAATTCCAATTGTACCATGTAAGTATTTTTCCCTTTGTTAAATATATTCAGGTTGAAATACGGAAACTACATACTATATAATTTGAAAGAAATGTAATTCCTCCATCTCAGGTGCCTGCAAATATGGTAATCATTAGGAAAGTATATAGAATGGTTGTCTTAACTGTGAGCATTATTGTTAATATTTTTGAATTTTAGACCTGGGAGGTGCCTTTGACATTATTCAAATTCTTCTGTTACATAAAGAAAAAGTCTGAGGCCAAGAGCAACTGAAGGTTTTCCCTGGATCATCTAAGTGTAGTGAGAAGCACAGCAGGGACCAGACCAGGCTGCCGTGGTCTCTGACTTTGTCCCCTTGCTAATGTGATTTCATCAGCTTTCAGTACCATGTTGCAGTTCACGAAGCCACATTTGTCAGCACTTGTATGGTAGCTGGGTTTCTAGAAAGAGTGATATCTTTGTCATTAGTTTAGTGGTATGCAGGGACAGGAGAGCTGAGGGAAGGCTTATGAACCCTCTGCTTTGAACCAGTATCAGAGTTGGGAGGGCACTAGTTACTGTCCTCAAGGGCCTTGCACTAGGGCACAAACATCTAGACAATGGCCAAATGGAGCCCTCAGGCAATACATGCTTTTATAGGCACTAGCAAGAGGGAGAGGTCACTTCCAGATGGTGTTTCACATGAATGTGGACTTGGTGAATCTCCATAAAGTGAGCTGCTTCCAGCAGGATTGATTGCAGAGTTTGTTATCAGGTCTTTTCTTGTGGTCATGTGGTCGGGTAGTCAGTAGGGCAGGGAGTGTCAGTCAGTGTCTTTCTTCTGTTCATAGGCAGCCAATAGAGCAAGGAGGGTCAGTCAATGGCATTCTTCCGGTCATGCGGTTGGATAGCAGGTAGAGCAGAGAGGGTCAGTCAGTTCCTCCATCCTGCGGTCAGGTAGTGGGTAGGGCAGGGTAGGTTAGGTAGTGGTAGGTCAGGTAGTGGGTAGGGTAGGGCTCGTGTCAGGTCTGCAAGTTCCTGGGGGATGTGCAGGTTGAATGCAAATTCCTAATGGAAAAGAGCCAGTAGGCACAGGCCTGGCTTTATTTCCACACTGGAGTAAGACACTTTGGTTCTTCTCCCAGTCTCCCACCTGGTCAGCTTCCTGTTTTGAGTTTGAGCCCTGTCCCTGACCCTCCCTCTAATAAGAGGGATTGGCCTGTTTTTGGAAGTTGGGTTGAACCCCATCTCCTGATCATATGTATTTCCATGTCCAAGAGCTTAAAAGAGACTTAATTATTACATGCAATATAGGTATGTCTTCCCCTTTAGGAAACAAATACTGTTTTCCTGGGATGAGATGACAAGTCTTGGCTAACACTGACCTAACATGTCTTCCACAGTGTCTTGGGACAAGGTGCACATTCCTGGTGTGCTGCAATGCTTGGGAGTGATGTACTTTGTGGTTGCTGTGTTGGAGTTCCTCTTTGCTAAACCTGTGCCTGAATATTGTGCTTCGATGAGAAATTTTTTAATTAAAAAAAAATTATTGTGTGGTGATACGGTCTCACTTCCCCAGACCAGCCTCTTAACTCCTGGCTTCAAGCGATTCTCCTCTTTTGGCCACCCAAAGCACTGGGATTACAGGTGTGAACCACCATGCCTGGCCAGGAATTGTGTTATTGTTTTTGCTGTTTATTGTTGTTGTTGTTACTGTTGAGACAGGAACTTGCATTGTTTCCCATTCTGAGGTGCAGTGATATGATCTAGGTTCCCTGCAGCTTTGATATCCCAGGCTCCTTCCTCCTCAGCCTCCTGATTAGCTGAGACTATAGGAGAGCACCACCATGCCTGGCTAATTTTATTTATTTTTTTGTAGAGACAAGGTCTCACCATGTTGGGTAGGCCGGTCTCAAACTCCTGGATTCAGGTGATCCTCCTGCCTTGGCCTCTAAAATTGCTGGGATTACAGGTGTGAGCCATCATGGCCTGCCAAAACTGTGTGTTTTTTAAAAAGAAGAACAAAGGGGGATATGGTTTATAGAACTTTTAAAATTTCTGCATTCAATTGCACTTCTGCTAATCAAATACTTACTGATTTCCACTTCCATCTAGTTTTTAAAGCTTTATATCAACTTTTAAAATTATGTTAAAATACACACGACATCTATCCTGTTAGCAAATTTGTCAGCACACAGTAATCGCATGCATTATTTTTTCCTATTTTTATTAACAATACATATCAATTATACATATTTATGAGGCTCAGGGTGATATTTTGATCCTGTGTATTATACAACATGTAACGACCAAATAATGGTGATTAGTATATCCATCACCTCAGTTATCATTTCTTTGTGTCGGGAACATGCAAAGTCCTCTCTGCTACTTTCAAATGTGTTCTTTTTTATTTGTTTTTTGGAGACATGGTCTCACTGTGTCACTCAGGCTGGAGTGCAAGTAGCATGATCTCAGCTCACTGTTGCCTTGACCTTCCATTCTCAAGCGATTCTCACACCTCAGTCTCCTAAGTAACTGGGACTATAGGTGTGCACTACCATGCTCGGTCGGCTAATTTTTATATTTATTGTAGAGTGGAGGTTTCACCATGCTGCCCAGGCTGGTCTTATACTCCTGGGCTCAAGTGACCCACTTGCCTCAGCCTCCCAAAGTGCTGGGATTACTGACATAAGCCACCATGTCTGGCCCCATTTTCGATGGTATTAAATAACACCAACAGCATCCACTTCACAGGTTCAGTCTCAAGGGGCATTATTAACTTTTCAATTTCCTTATGACATTTTGGTCTCTATTCATATGCTGTAAAGTTCAGTAAATTTTCGTTTTGAGGATGATCCTCAGGTAGGACATGGGAGAATGACAGTATTGTGCTTGACTATTTCTATTACTTCTTTATTAGAGGCATGTCAGAGTCCTATCTCTTTTGTGATTACTTCCTGTCTTACTATAAATTGCTGGGCGGAGTTGACCCGGGTGACAGTTACTTCTCACCACCACCTGCCATT